GGCACAGAGAATTACACAGAGGCTGTTGTGTGTGTATAAGAGGGTCAGGGCACAGAGAATTACACAGAGGGTGTTGTATGAGTATAAGAGGGTCAGGGCACAGAGAATTACACAGAGGCTGTTGTGTGTGTATAAGAGGGTCAGGGCACAGAGAATTACACAGAGGGTGTTGTATGAGTATTAGAGGGTTAGGGCACAGAGAATCACACAGACTGCTGTGTGTGTATAAGAGGGTCAGGGCACAGAGAAACATAGAGAGTCTGCTGTGTGTATATAGAGGGTCAGGGCACTGTCTGCTTGTGTTTCGCCTGGATCCATGGTCTCCATGCGGTTGTGTGGCATAGCTAACCACCACCCCAGCCCACGCAGTATTACACTGTACGGCCTGTCCCACTGCCGCAGCGCCTGCCCTGCGAGCTGGCGCAGACTGGCGCACACACTCTCTCGCTCACTCTGTACGTGGCCCTCACTCTCTCCCCTCATTGGCTGCCTGAATTATTGATTTGGCAGCAGAGAGATAGTCTTGCATCTCGCTGCTAAGCAAGGCTCAGCCCTGTGCAGTGGTGCCTGGAAGAGGGGGAATGACTTTGGGCTGGTCTGGAGCGGCCGTTTCTGGTGAGAGCGGAGTGACTTTGGGCCAGTGTGGAGTGGGTGTTTCTGGGGAGAGTGGAGTGACTTTGGGCCGGTGTGGAGTGGGTGTTTCTGGGGAGAGTGGAGTGACTTTGGGCCGGTGTGGAGCAGGCACTGGGAGCGCTGATTGACATTGGCCCAGCCCTGTGAAGGCATTTCTGTGGAGAGTCAAGTGCCACTGGCCCAGCCCTGCTGTGCCTCGTTTGGGAGAAGTTGCTGATTGAGGAGACGGCAGAGAATGGCAGAGGAAATGCAGGGAAGTGGGTCCGGGCCTTACGAGGGCATCTGTCGCTACACGCAGAAGATCACCTCCTGTTTTGGACTGGATGAGGATCCGGGGGTGGAGATCTCTGCAGGACACAGAGGTGCGTGTTTGTGTGCGTGCATGTGCACATGGGTCTGTGTAGTTGGCGTGCATGTCTGTGCGTCAGCGTGCTCCGGTCAGCGTATGCATGCGGGGCAGCGTGCTACGGTCACCCTCTGTGCGTGCAGGGATGCCTGCTCTGGTCAGTGTGTGCATGCAGGGCTGCCTCTGGGGGCTTTGTGTTGAGGGGCTCTTTGTCTGTGAAGTGTGCTCTGACTGTCCTACATCCGTCATCCCCGAGAGAGGAAGTACACTGAGAAAGTCACACAAAGCCAACTGCCCTATTTTCTGGCGCCAATGGAAATTTTATGTGGACCTTTAAATGGTAAAATGTGGTGAAACCGTCTACATGGAAAGTATGTTTTTCCCAGCTGGGATGCCTGCATCACGTTCCTGCTTGGTTTGTGTGAGTCTGCTAGTGTGAGCATTCCTTCAGGTAATATTCCCAGGTTGATTAATTACAGCCGGCTACTGATGGCTGCAGAATGCCCGCACACCGTGTGCTCCTGGGAGGCTGCGGGGCCAGACGGGGCGAGATGGGGCGAGATGGGGCGGGGCACGTGGGCGGCCGTGCAGTGGTCTGTTATGCGTCTGGGTTAGTGAAACCGCCTTGCTGTCAGGGCATGCAGTTTCAGTCTGGCAAAGGTCCAAGTGATGGGGGAGCTGAATGCTGTTGCTTCAGCTGAACCCTGGAGCCTTTGGGGGGTTCTGAGGTTTGTAGGGCAACAATGAACCTGAAGGGTAACGTTACATGGTGGGTTGTACAGAGCTGGTCTGCAGGCCACACAAACGGCATGGGAGAGCTCTACGGTGAGTCAGCCTTTTCCATCTGCAGAGGCAGGCCAGGCCTAACCAGAGCTCTCAGCCTCAGATATATCCCTGTGTGAGCTAGAGGAGGGGCCTAACCTGAGCTCTCAGCCTCAGATATATCCCTGTGTGAGCTAGAGGAGGGGCCTAACCTGAGCTCTCAGCCTCAGATATATCCCTGTGTGAGCTAGTGGAGGGGCCTAACCTGAGTTCTCAGCCTCAGATATATCCCTGTTTGAGCTAGAGGAGGGGCCTAACCTGAGCTCTCAGCCTCAGATATATCCCTGTTTGAGCTAGAGGAGGGGCCTAACCTGAGCTCTCAGCCTCAGATATATCCCTGTTTGAGTTAGAGGAGGG